TTCATCCCACCTTTAAATCCCTCTCAGAAGCAGGAATGAACAGCCCAGGTGCTGCCTTTGATGCTCTCAGGAGGAGGAAGAGGAGGAGGATGAGGAGGCGGCAGCAAGCGCAGCAGCAGCATCACCGGCAGGGACAGTGACACAGGGCCAGGCTGGGGACCACGAGCCCTCCCAGGGCAAGGCAAAGGCCCCTTGGTGCTGCTGTGAGGATAAACACCATGGCAGGTGTCACCTCTCCAGCCCTCCCTGGCTGCAGACACCGGGAGGATCCAGCAGGACTCTGGCTTTGGCACAGGGACAGTCTGGGCTCTCTGAGGTCACCTGTCTGGAGCTTGGCTGGGGCTCTCTCAGCCAGACCGGGAAGCAGCTGGTGAAAATCTCCTCCAAAGCTGCTCTCTCACAAAAAGAGCCCTGCCCAGGCTCCACCACTGGCTCAGGACAGCACCCAGACATCTCAATTCTGCTGTGCCACAGACCAGGAGCAAAGGTGGGGATGGATCCAAGCAGGCTCATCCCTGTCCCCCCCAAACTCCTCTTCACCCTCCCTTAACCTGAATCACACCCTCACCACACCTCTGATTTAACTCTGGCCTGCTGCAAGACAGAAAAAACAAACTAAAGGAGAAAAGCACCTGAAGTTGGTCCTTTTCTTCATAAATGGAGAAAAAGAGAGGACTAGCAAGGATCAAAAGAAAATAGGAAGAGAAGCCCTAATGAAGAAAGCAGCATAATGTTTGTCCTTCTTACATGGAACAGGATCTGCCCTTGGAAATCACTGCACTGAAAACCACAAGCTAGTTAAGCTGTATCAATAAACACTACTTTTAATGATAAACTGTTCTCCATCTGCATTATTTTTGATCTTCACACGACCAGGTGCAATGAAGGAAGAAGGGAACATCTGCTAGGGAGTGCTGAAACCCCAGAAAATAACATCAGCACAGCCATCACTCACTGTGTGCTTCATGCAGGGTGCCTGGACACGCTGGGAGGAGAAACCTGAGGCACCAAATATCACCAAGCACCTTCATCTGTTTGTCGTGCAGGGGCAATCACTAATCAGCATCTGGGAATGCAAATGCACTTACACAAGTCAATGAATAAAACAGAAGAGAGTAGCTAGGGGAAAAAAAGAAGCTAAATACAACAACCTTGAGTTTTGAGCACTGACTTTGTTACACAGAAACAACAGGGGAAAAAACAACCCACACCAAAGTCAGCCAAGCTCACAGATCTTCACCTAAGCTCCTCACCTGAGCCTGTCTGAGCCTAGAAAGGCAATTAATTACAAGTGCACAGATTATGAACTACAACAATCTTAGCCCAGGAACAGTGACAAGCTGAGATTTGGTTCAGTGTGGTCTCAGCAATTCCTGTGGGCACTGCCACAAACCCCCTCTAGTCCCATAGACAGTCAATTATATTCAATATAATATTATACAATACTCAAGTTCTACAAAGAGAAGTACCTGGATTCCTTTTTCTCATCCAGAGGGAAGAAATCTTCACTGCTGTTTGAGTGGCATGAATGCCATGACACCCTGCAGTTCTCCCAGCCCTAGCAGCCTTTTCCTAGGCACACTTTCAGCAGGATGAGGATTTGTCTGTATGAGCACAGAGCAGAGCTCAGAAGGGTGGAGATAAGCAGAGCAGAAGGGTGCTGGGAGCCCCAGGTCCACCCACACACTGCAAAGCTCTGCTCCACTCAGGAGGCCAGGGATGAAAAGCCCATTAGCAGCTGAAGTGCACAGAGGGAGCTCCTGGAATATCCTGGCTCAGGCTCAGCCCAAACTCACCCTGGGGGCTCCCTGGCCCTGTAACCCCAACAGAAGCACAGAGAGTGGGCATGGGATGATGCAGGATTCCCTCCCAAGGTGCAGCACACGTGGAGCCAGGGGGAACAAAAAAGACCCCACTGACCAAAATATAATTCATTGAAGCCCATGTTGGTACTTCAGGTAGATAATCATGATAACATCAATCTTCCTTCTGCTCTTTGAGTTATTCCCTTACCCAAAAAGATCTGCTGAGGACCTAGGGTCTGCTGTGAGGAGCAGCCAGCAGAGCTCCCCAGCCCTGTGGGCCAGGGGATAATTCAGACCACAATCAAACCACACATTCCAGGTTTTATTTCAAAGTGGAGCTCAGGGGACCCCACAGCCCTTGCAGGATCTCACAGCTCATGACAGTGTGAGGGGAACCGTTCCAACAGCACCTCGTGGATGAATTTCTTTGATAGAACTTGTCCCACTAATGATTTGGGTTTTTTAGGAGTCTAACCTATAGAAAGGACAATTGAAACTTGTTATAAAACACTGAGCACATCACCACCAGAATATGGTACAAGACTCCTGCTCTGTTTTCATTCCCGTGCTGCTCCCACACCCTGTGCTGGGACATCAATTTTCATTCTCCATGATTTAGGGTGGTTATAGGGTGGCCTTTGTGCTAGCAAAGAACCCATGATCTGTAACAAAACTGAATTTCTACTTTACTGGACAAATATACCAAAAGAAATTGTGGCATCTTGGTGAGTTGCTAAGCAACCAAGAGCTCCAGTGTCACTTGTTTGTGATCAATTCAAGTCATTCATGGGCTCTGAAGCACCAGCTCAGGAATTCCAACAAAATCTGTGCCTTGGGAAAGCCACGGGGACTTCCTGACACACAATAACACTTTCTTTCCTCGAAGATAAACTTTGTAGATGTTCTTTTGATCTGTGTGATATGTTAATCCATTATTCTTAACATACTGCTAATGGGAAAAGCTATAATTAACTAACCACAGCATTGTAATGCGTGCAAGATAAACTGATCTAATTAGTAGTGTTTAAAGTAGTCCCTGTCCTCTCCCAGTGGGGAAAGGAGCAGATCCTTCCTGATCACAGGAGCAACTGTCCCCAACATCTTTTTATGTAAAGAATAAATTCCTCTTTGTTCCTTTTCTTCCCTCCCAAATAGAAGTGATAAAGTAAATTTTTACTGGCAAACAAGGTGGCCCCAGTCCAAGCCACTCGAGGTACACATCCAAGCTGTGAATAATGCAATCTTTCATTTAAATAAGGTTTATCTGTTGGCTTTCTTGGGGAAAGAAACATGACTGTTATATTTTCATGCATGGAGTTTAATTACTGAAGTAACTCATAGTGAATGCCCACAATAATTGCACTCACTGAGTTAAATGTATATTACTGAAGTACAGTCTATTTCAGCCTCATTTTCAAGATTCATCCCATCCCTATTTTGATAAAAATCAATAATAAACAGGAAGAGTTTAGAAACAAACTGGTTTCCAAGCTGTGTGCTGCATATGGCAAAATTTCAACTTCTTGATTGCTGGCAGGTGTTTTTTTACTGAAGATATTTAATGATAATTTCATATACACTGGGCAGTATTTCTAAAGAAATTACCTTCTGCAAATCTCGGTGTCCTATCCTGTGCATCTTATTTTAATGTCACATGATCTGGACTTGTAGTTCCTCTGCAAGCCAGACTCCACTCACAGCAGATGCTCAGCCTAAATGAGCACCAGAAACTGGTGAGCCAGAATTTCCTAATTTTTAATGACCCATTGAGAAAGAGAGGGCTTCATTTGGCTTGTGTTTCTTTGAAACACAATGAAAATGTATTACTTTTAAGCAAGAGAGAAGTGTTAGCACAGCAGGAGTTGTGCACGCTGATATTTCATATCAGAAGATAAGCACAGGCACGTGGGAAGCAATGGCCAAGGATGGCAAGCACAGCTCCAACAAGGTAACATTTCACGTTCATAAATGGCAAAAAATTACATATTTATTTAAAGTACAGCTTTTCACCTCCCCTCCTTTCCTCGGACCTGTATCTAAAGTCATAACATTTATTATTTATCGCTTGTGGAATGGGATTTGGGGGAGTTACACAGCACATATCAACTCGGTCACACCAAACCCTTGGCAAGGACACAGAAATGCCACCTGTCACCACTCTGGAGAAATATTCCAAAACCACATTTCAAGCAAAAGTATTCCCAGGTAGTGCTGAACACCTGTACATAACCCAACAAAACACAGCTCAGTCCCTTCCTACCCCAAAAGAAGCCAAGTATCCCTAAGGATGGAAGCGGCAGATGCAAAGCCCACGTACGTTTGCTGTGTGCGACTACAGGAAAACAGAATTTCCTCGGACTGCGTTGCCAGGCTCCCCGATGCTCTCTGATCATGCAACACGAATCGATAACACACAGCCCAGACACCGAGCCCCAGCGAGTCCTGCAGCACAACACGGGTACATCGCTTCCCCAGCGGCAAAAAAAAAAAAAAACAAAAAAAAAAAAAAAAAAAAAACCCCCCAAAAAAACCCCC